AGATTTGCTTATTCCAATTGCCGTGCACCCCTTTCTTTTCATTAACCAGCGGCCAACGGAGCCATTGCTATTGGTTGTTCACTTGGTAGTTCTTTTATATTACTGTTTGATAACTTTTTATTCAGTGGTATATCCGGGCACGATGCGTCGTAAAGACTCGACGCTGTTCGCGCCATACCGTTCAATGGGAGTGGTATGTTCTGCTGTACGGCCAGTAATTCGTCCAAATGAATCACAAGTCAGGTAAATAGAAAACATATTTTTTCAGGCACCTCTTTGTTAAAGTTGCTCTAATCTACTGTGGAAGTTGATTAGTTTTCTTGCACTATCTAAATTTCCATGTGCATCTTTACAGAATGACCTCATTATTGTGCCCAATCGACAATGTCATATTGCATTATAAAGCAGAAAAGCTCAGGCTAATTGGCATTTCGGATGTCCTTCCTGACGTTATAACTGCTATTGCAGCTGATCGAACGTTAGTCCTTACTTCGACGTTATTTCGTCTTACATTTTAACATATTTATTTATAAAACTCTTACCAATTGCAATTTTTCTTAAGCGGCGTCTTTGTTGCATCAGGAACGGTGGTAGCTGTTATGAAGACTTGTCGCCATATAGATAGGTATATAGATGTCAGAGCAAAGACCAAGTTTATGACGACCTTGGGTGACTACTTAGTGAGTCTATAATTTCATTTTATACCCTCATAAGATGAAAATTGTGCTACGGTATCCCTATATTCGCCTGTTTGAAAGCCATTCGCTTGATTTCTTGGTTTCGGTAGGTTCTTATTGATGACGAGAATGGCATTCGTGTTTTCAACATTCCTGATGGACAAAAACTTCTCCACATGGAAGGTTCAAAGGAGTTCCGGGTCACAGCTATGGTGCATCCAAGCACCTACATGTACAAAGTAAGCGGCTCTTCCATTCTATTTTCTCGTTTTCTTTTTGTAGGAGACCTTGTTAATGATCTAACTAATTTCTAAGAAATGCATTCTATTAAACCTACAAAACAGGGATTTTCAGATCCTAATCGGTTCTTCCATTGGAACAATGCGAATTGTGAATTTCCGCACTGGCCGTATCATCCATGAGTTCTCTAAAGGTAATTTCATGGGATTTTTCGGTTTTCAATTTCTAACGAGTCCAATATTCTGAAAGCACAGTTTCCAGCTCAAACTGTAACTCCGAAATCCTTGATCTTTCCTTTTCTGTCCTCCGCATAGCTTTCAATATGCCACCTCGTTGTTCAGGTTTTGATGCGGCCATCACAGTACTTGAGCAATCACCTGCAGTTGATGTGATGGCTATAGGCCTCGATAATGGGCATGTTATTCTGCATAATATTCGAGTAGATGAGACTGTATGCAAATTCCGACATGAGAGAGGGATATCAGCCGTTGGTTTCAGGCCAGTTACTGCTTTTCAGCACAACATTGTTGTTGTTATATCTTTAATAGTTATATCAAGGGCTGAATGGAAATGGTTTACAGTGTTTCCTCAATTCAGTTCATTCTAGAAAAGACGACAAGCCTCTCATGACGACTGCTGATGTCGGCGGTGACATCGCAGTATGGAATTTGGAAAAACGTCAATTAGTCGGAAAAATTACTGATGTTCACCACGCCGCTGTCACTGAGCTTTATTTTATGCCTGGAGAACCCATTATGGTATTGTTTATCATCCAGATCCTTTTTCCTTATTGACGACATTTGTGCATTTTAAGGTGTCAGCATCCGCGGATAACTCCTTACGGACTTGGGTGCTTGATGGAGGTGATGATATGCCCCGGCAACTAGTTATCCTAGAGGGACACGCGGAAGGAGTAACTGCAGTGCAGTTCAACGGGAAACAAGAGGTAAACAAGTTAAAGATGGGATAGGAAGATGGTTACCGATATCATCGCGAGTTGATTTACAACTAGACAAAGGTTCCATGTCTACTGTGATGCTTGGAGAGCAGATAGTCCCACTCAAATGCTCGCCCTCAACAGTCTTTTCAGTATTTTTGAAGTTCCTGTACGCTTCAGATTTTGTCATCTGGGTTGGATGGCTCTGTTCGAAAGTATATGGTGAATGTAGACACTATGCGACAGAAGCTTGGCAGCGCAGGAACAATGTCTAGGTAATTATATTTTCAGTTTTTAGCGTTGCCTCAGCATGACTCTTTAACATACCATTTCCATTTCCAGAGCTATTGCGAAAAAGAAGCATATTTCAATTGAAAGCATACGTATGGAGCCTGTAGTTGATATGGCAATTGGGTGGAGTCGGGAGGCGGCTTGGGATAATGTCTTGTGTCGGCATAAGTGAGTGATTTGTTCGTTTTCCGGTTGCATATTGTTCTTTTCGTACTGTTATTAATTTAAATAATTAATCAAATCAGCGTTCTCTTTTTCATAGGTCTTTTCCAGAGACACCTTATTAGTAACAACCTGGACAACTAGGAAAAATGCTCAGGGAACTCATAAGGTAAGCAGAAACTGTTTCCATTCTATATGGTTTCTAATCTATGATTCTTTTAAGCTGGTACATAAGAGGTTCCTTAATGATGAATCACTATGTTGTGCCACTGCGACGGCAATTGCGCTTTCTCCTTGCGGGAATTTTGCTTTCATTGGATATTCCACTGGTAATTGTTTCAGTTACAATGTAGATGAATTCAAAAATGTCATGGTCTATCCTTCGTTCTTTTTTTCAGGGCATGTGGATCAATTCAATGTTCAAAGTGGGCTTTTCGTAAAAACATACACAAAAGGCATTCAGTCTCAAGAGAAGATGAGCAAAAGGGAGAAATCTAAGGTATCTCACGACTTCATTCTATCATTATTTATAGTTATTTAGATGTACATAGCTACTAAGCATGGGTAAATTGTCGTAATATTGAAAGTTTTCAGTTGGAAAAAGCGCATGAGTCGATGATAACGGCCCTGACAGTGAACGCACGTGGCTCGGAACTGATCACTGCATGCTCCAAAGGCAGTCTAAAGTTTTGGCAACTGCGAACTGGTCAACTGTTAGCGACAATGCGCACTCGATTACGGATAGAACGCTCAGCGCCGTGCACGTCGAATAGCTTACTGGCTGTAGCTTGTGCAGGAGACGAAGGTACGTAGGATCTCTTCATTTCGCACTTTGTTTGGTTTCAAACTTCAGTAAGAGAGAGAGCGGTGTTTCTGTTTTTTATAGTACGGTATAAGCCGGAAATGTTCCCTTCAGGTGGTTCGGTAGCTATTGTGGACACATTGTGCCGCCGAGTCGTGCGTACCTTCAAATCCGTTGGTCATTCTGTGAATGCATTGACATTTTCAAGTGACGGACGGTGGTTGTTAACAGCAGATGACAAGAAATATATAAGGGTATGACGTTGTTTTGGAATGATCACTAGCAGTGAGATACTTTTTACCACTTTTCAGGTCTGGGAACTGTCGACTTCGCAACTCATAGATGTGATGGTGTCCGATAAACCGTGCATTGGAATGTCTTTCAACAGCTCCGGCGAATACCTAGCCACTGCCCATAAGGTAATACTTCACGATATGCCATGGTGCCATGGCCATTACCATGGTTTTCTATTTGATTACTTTTGTAATATGCGCCAACGAAGCAAGAAATGAAAATTCACCATTTCCTACTTGAACCACCAGTACCTGTTGCTGACTTGTAAATTACAATTGTGTGAAACCCACCTAAAAATTAATTACTCGTGTCTTTCTAGTGCCCAAACTCATTTCAAAATTGTGTCTCTCATCGTATTCGTTTTCTAGGACGAAAAAGCCATTTATGTGTGGGTGAATAAGAGGATGTATACATCCCATGTGAACATTCGAGCGCTTCCACTGGATTACGTACCAACGTGGGCAGACTCTTGCGCGGCAGAGATCGGGGTCAATACAGTTGTTATTGACGACGAGAGTGATGAGGAATGGCGGAGTCCAGATACGGTAATTTTTCTAGAAACTATTTTTCAATTCATCAGAAAAGAGTTACCTTCAAAGTGCGAGCATTCGGAATTTTCAGCTTGATGAATCACTGGTGACCTATTCTGGCTTGGCTCCGTCCCGATGGGCAAACCTCCCAAATCTGGCATTAATCAAAGAAAGAAATAAGCCCGACCAACCTCCGAGGAAGCCGAAACAAGTTTGTTTTTCTGCGCAAATTACTGACTCAGCATTGTTAAGATCTCATAAATTTCTTGCTCAGGCGCCTTTCTTCTTGACAGCAGCTCCTACTCTGGAGGGATTCGAGTTTGAAGTTCCGCAGGAAAATGAGGAAGAAACGCGAAGGACCTTACAAGCCAAACGAAGCCTATTGGAACTTGAAAGTTCATTCAGTTCGTCGTTAAGGGCGTAAGTGCATTCGTTCCTTTCCAAATCTTGCAAAAGGTTTCCAAGCAAGAGATGTTTTAGAGCTGAAACGGTGGAGCAGCTTTCTGTAGTATTTTCTTCTTTGAAAAAGATGTCGGTTTCCGCAATCGACTTCCAGTTACGGACCTTGCCAGTGGATTTGTTACCGAAGTTTTTCAGAATGTTGAATGAGGTGTGTTGTTGGTTTTTATTAGCTAAAATGCAACGAACCTTATTTTCCCTTTATCTGAAAACCTTTTCTCGATATCACGGAAAATTATGTATGCCTCAAGCCTCGTCATCTTGAATTTGCATGTCATTCAAGTCTCATCTTTTTTTTTGCAAATTTCAAATTTGAGAATT